CCTGTCGATGTTGTTTTCGAGTTGACACCGGAGACAGCGTTCGCATAAATGCAGACAGTCGATGGACGTAGTCTGATTTACCGAAATTAGGTCTGCTCCATGGTGTGAAGAATTCTCCGGGCAGACGCATTGTTGTGCCGTATACATGTTCAGTGGCGGAACATTGGATATCTGCCTTTAAACTCGTTCTCACCCCTAAAAGAACGAGCGGTAAGGTTTCGTGCCAGTTGCCGTTTTCGTGTGCTCGTAGAACACTTTGAAGTTGGCAGTGAAACCGTTCAACCTAACCATTTGGTGCTGGGTGGTAGACTGATATGCCTATGCGTATGCATTCCGTACCAAGCAGCCGGGTCAGCGAGGAGAATCGTTAATAGGGTAACATTTCTCGAATAAAGCGTGGAATTCATCATCACGCGAATAAAAAGTGACAAGGATTCGGTACGCATACGTGTGAGTCTGTTATATTAATACTATTCTTATAGTTATCCGTCATGTCGCGTATATTATATATTAAAAAATATGAAAATATACGACAGACGTGGATGGATAAATCATAGACTCACCGAATTGGCTTCTTTGGAAGATTTGATCAGAAGTTGAGGCGTGTTCCAAAATACGGGTCACCAATTGTATTCGAGTTTGGATTACCAATTGTAGCGTGGCGTCGAGTTGAGGTTAACTATGAACACCGCTACCAAGAAACACGTGCCAAATAAATCAGAAGGCGAGGGTTGGACGTAACCAAATAGATCCATAAAATCCCCGAGAAGCCAAATATCAGAAGACAGTTAATGGACCAAGTCGAGGTTTATTTGCTGGCGATCTCGTGGAATCGAAAGGATACCGAGATCGTGCCAGGATACAACCTTGGTTACAGATGGTAACCGAATTCGCGCGAAGTTACGATCAAAGTGTAAGTAAAAGAATGGAAGCACAAAATAGCTGTCATTAGCACAGTCAAACAAGAGCACATTAAAACAAACACTGGTACAGTTGGTTATAATAATAATTGTTTTTATTAAACCAGTCGTGTTCTCGTGATAAACGTGAGTCAGTACATACATATATTTGTTCCCGTCCGACGAGTTGACAACAAAACATTTATTTGCTGAGGTTACAAACCTAATCATGCCCACCATTTTGTTTACCACCATAAAACCTTTGAATGATAATCTCAACAGTCGTATATAATATGCCTTGACAACAGTCTGATCTGAAACATTGTCTAAAAATGTTCATCCACAATTCCATTTTCTTCATCTGTAAAAAAATACGGGAAGTAGATCTATGTACACGCTCTCTACTGAGGACTCTGTTTTCATCATTCACCCAAACGACTACGGAACTTCACGGATTTGTGCAGCAATGTGTAGCTCTGATCCTGTCTTATATTTGTTCTCAGACGCTTGAACCTTCTCGTGATTCGAATATAGTAAAACGCTTGAATAGTGGTAACATCAAGGTAACTGCTCCGACTGCATATATTTAAAAAGAAAATGATCGAAATGGTCAAGTTACTATTGAGTATATATTTATTTATCATCCAAATTCTACTGACTGTTTACTTTACTTTTTTTCCTTACGCCTGTTACACCTAATGGAGCACGAGCGAACAACCATCATTATTCATTCCACTCTGTCTTTGGCCTTCCTTTCTAGTTCTATCGTTGTATAGTTCAATTGTCGTTAAGTATTCTCACGTCTTTCTCCATTTCTCGGCATAATGTATTCTCTAATCTTCTTCTTCTCATCTAACCCTGAGGATTCCAAGTGTGGGCTTGCCTTGTGATGCAGTTGGGCGTTTTCCTCAATATGTGTCCTATCCATTTCTTCTTGACTTTATCCTCTGCCGGAATTTCTTTTGTTTTGTCCCACAGTAGGTTGTTGCCGATTGTGTCTGGTCGGTGGATCCGAAGTTTTTTTCTTATAAAACTGTTAATAAACACTATATATCCTCAGTGACGGCATTCGTGGTTCTCCAAGTTTCCGCCCCATGCAGTAGAACTAAATGGTAATGTATGTGATTTATTTAGGTCACGTCAAAAACAATTAAAAATATTGTGTTCACTTGCTTCTTCTCACAAATAGTGAGAAACTGTGTGACCACGAGTAAATGATTAGTTTAAGAATGGCAAACAGTGTTTACGTTCTGAATGGTTTTTAGTGTGAATAAAAAGGAATTATGAATAAGCGTTAAGAAAAGAAATAAATTTTAGTGGTATTTCGGATTTAAATTTATGAAAGTGTCAATCGAACAGTAGTGGAGCTAGTGTTATACAAGTGTAAGTGTAGTTATTCACTTGCCTCTGATTACAGCAAAATTTGTACGAAGCATATTCATGACTAAGAAGTAGTAAGGATTTAGATCGGTCAGCACACTCTAGAGAACAACAAGGAACATAGATGAAAATCTCAAGTAATTAAAATGCGTATCGATTATTTAAAACCGAATGTTAAGTGAACAAAAAGTTATTCCAAAAATGCCAAAGCATGCTTACTTATTTACTCCTATCCCCCCACGTCGTGAAGGAGCATAGGTTTCCTGGAAAGATTCATCATCGAACTCTATTCAGAGCAATCCTTTCCAGTTGTTATTCATCCTTTTGATGTCTACTTTCATTTCCCGGCGCACTGTGTTCTTTAGTCTTTATCTTTCGATGCTCCAGGTTGGGGCTTGCCCCACGATAAACTTTGTTGATTTAGATAACCATCGTCTTTTCCTAATTTTCTCATCAGTTGCAAACTGAGGTGTGATGTCACATAGTAGGCTGTTTCTTACGGCATCTAGCCAACGAATATGGTATAATACCTATGCATTTCTGATGACGACTGTAGCTGTTCTCTAAGTCTCGGCACCGTACAATAAGGTACCTCGACTTGGTGCTAAAAACTCTGGCTTTGGTGTTTTCTGAAAGTTGTTTTTGAGTTACAGTTGTCCTTCAATTGAAGGAATGCTGTCCTTGCTTTGCAATTCCGTGTCTTTTCATCTGACAGTTTAGGTTAATTGGTTAGGAGTTGACCTCAGACATTTAAGCATATGTCAAAACAACAGAGTTCAAGTATTCACTCACTTCCTTATTTTGTATAGGCTTTATATTTCCCGTTGTCTTGTATTAAATGTCAAGAGGCTTTGTTTGTCTGAACAGGTGATTCTACGCCCCACTGTGACTGCGCAAAGATCTAAATAAAGACCTATTCACCACTAGTCTGTTTTCTACTATCAATACAACGAGGGTTACCTACAGGCACGAAACACCTGCATCCGGTCCTCTATGTTATCAGTGATACTGCTCGGATAAGCAAAAGTGTCAATTTCTTCAGAGCTTCCAAATCAAGTGTGTTTCGGTTGCTGCTCACTGTACTGCACCTTGAGATGCTGCTTTTTTCCTTGTGTATGTTGTGTTATATTGCTGTCGTGGTTGCTTCTAGATTGGCTGTCTTTACCTGCATTTATTGCTGTGTATGAGGTAGAAGATTTAGGTTATCGGTGAAGTTAAAATCTTCCAGATTCAACGGAGCTTTATACAGTATTGTAAGCTTCCCCTGAGATGTTAGGGTTTCAATAATACTGTTAACCACCAGAAGAAAGAGAAAAGGCAAAAGTATGCAAACTTGTCAGGCTCTGCTCTTCACCTGTAATGGATCTGCTAGTCGTCTTCCAAGCACGACTTTGCAGTGTTGTCCATCGTATGAATTGTGGATGATGACGACGATTGTGTTGAAGAAAGTTACATATGATTCTCCTATCCAAACTGTCAATCAGTTTCTCATAGTCAAGGATGTTTATCTTTACTGATAAATTTCATCCAACAGATGACTAAACAGTACAAATTCGTGCCTAAAAATCCGTCAACATTTCAATAAGTCTCTTTTGTATAACATGCTTTGAAATAATGTATTTTAAGTCAAATAATTCATGAAATGATTTATTCAAAATGGTCTTTTGACTTTTTTATTGAACCTGTACATTCCTATACCGACTTATAGCTGTTTCCATGATCTTTTTTATACCTGTAGTGTTTTCTAGCTGTTGATGCTTTGTGTGTATTCATTTAATAAAATCCGAATTATTTTCCTCAAGTTTTCTTGAAATAAATTTCACTATTTGAGCTAGACAATTTCCTGTAGAATGAAAATGCTTGATAGTCAGAAGTATCTGAAATAATGTACTAACTTGGAATTCCCGAGATAATGCATTTTACTACAAGTACGACTAGATGAGCACTAGATGACAATATTATATTTGGAATTCGTAATCGGTGGACGATCAAGTATAAAAGAATCATTAATTCCAACCAATACCACTAACTGTTACAGATAAATTCACAAGATTAGGAATTTAACTTGAAAAAGTTGTATAATTTAGTGGATAATCAAAAATACATATCAGTAGTGCTGGTGTACCTGATTAAATTTTAGATATCGAATTATAATAATTTTGAAAGGTCTAAATCAAGTACATATACTAAAAACACTAGCAATATTGATATTATAACTTTCCCGTAGAAATATTTGCTTATAGTCAATCAGTAGGGTTCTATTACGTTTTTGTGTTCAGTAAACCATTGATATAAGTGTTCGTCAGTCATAATAAACTGAACTGGACCTCCAACTAAGACTCCGCAGTAAACACTGCATTACTTTGTAAAATAGTAAAACTGACGAAATTATAATTTACACTTTGACTCCTATTTATTCTTGGGATTAAATATAATAACATGAAACAGATAATCTGAATTTAAGGATAATACTTCATACTAATCACTGAAGATAATTACTTGTTGGTTGAGTACCAAGAATAAATGAATTTTATGAAAAAAGTGTTTTAACTATAAATGCCTAATATAATTATCTGCCATTATAATATCCGATCACCTTTCATTGTGAAAACAAATAACAGTATGATTACGTAACTCCTGTCATATGATATATCAATTATGTCAATTATGATATTTAGATTTGTAGGAGAAATGCATATATTAACTGATCACACTTGAATGTGTAACTAAGGTCATATGAAACTACTATAAATTAGTAGTGATCTTTTAATAAGTGAATGAAATACATATAATGCTAAACTATATGGTAATTGAAATAATTTCTAATATGTTTAATGATTAAATTGTAATGAAGTTCGATTATTTTGTGTTTGGACTAATTTTATTATGCTCAGATTCTATTTACGGACAAATTGGTAAGTCTCTATGTATTATATCATGTAATTTATTATTTTGGGTCAGATTTTCCAATCTTTTTTTAAAAAGAGATATGGTAATAGGTAAACTTTCAAATCGACCATGTTCATCATATTGTGAAAGCGTTTGTTATCAAAAATACTGTGCAAACAAAATATAACAGTACTTGCCCCTTTTTGACTAAAGATATAAGAAAAAAATTGTTTATTCTTGTGAGTTTGTGGGTTCTATTAATGTACTTATTTAAGATGTATCACTATTGAATAAAATAAGGTTGATAAGTAGTATCCCTATCTGTTTTAATGAATATCAAGGATTTTTAGACATTAAAAGTCGTGTCATTTGCGTTGACATTAAAAAGCTAAAATTCTTGAATGACTTGTCATATTATTTAAAATTGTTAGAGAATGCTCAAATTAACTTCATTAGGATCACGGTTATTGAATTTCTAATGACCATAAGGGTTTGATTAACTAAATCATACTTCGACTCAACTTTTTAATTTACCATGTTCTATTTTACAGAAACGACCAAAGAAGAGTCTGTAACTGATCAAGGATGGGTACGATTTAGTAAGTTCGTATGTTATTTTTATAATATTGCAGTTATTTTAGTAATATGATGTTTTCAAACAGTGATAAAATCACTTCTGTCTTTTTATATCATATACATGAATCAACGCCAATTTTAACAACAGTAGACATCCCAATTGAATACCTTTATTATATCAGCTGACAACACAATCTAATGCGAATAAACTGAAGTAATTTTCTGTTGACTGAATCCTAACTACTTTGAATTTTTGTTTATTTGTCTGAGTTTTGATGCATTGTTCACCACAGAGTTTCGTTCGTTTTTTTAAACTTATAAAGCTATGAATCATAATCCACTCATAGTGAGCCCACGAAGGTTGCCACAAAGTAAGTGATCTTTCTGAAAAAGTGATTTGTAATTTTATTAACTTACGATTTCTAAATGCAATCGACAAGTATTTGTTCGATTAGAGCTAAGTATGAAGACGAAAATAACATCTGACTCAGAATAATATGAATTAGTCTTTATTATGTGGGTTCTCTTCAGCTGCTTTCAAGTGTATCTGTATTAAAATGTTCTATTCGCATTATTCTCCTAGCATATACGTGAGTAAGATTATTTGAAGAGAGATACAATCAGATAATAGTTATCCAGAATTCGAAATTTGATAAGATCCATTATGTAACACTTAAAGAAGATCTGAAGAGCATTTAAGGATTAAATGAATGAAAACCACGGTGTGGGAAAATGATTTTAAAGTGGATGAAACAACGACTAGCTAAACATTGGACCACAAAACAAAATTCATAAAGTAACAATCATAATCACATGCTGTTTTATTCAAAGCTACGACCTGGGTAAGTTAGTGATACATTGACGTCTATCTTTTACTGATCGTGTAAATTCGTTTTGAGTTTTTCGTTCGCTTGTGATTCGGCAAAGAATAAAGAATTTAGGTTTATTTTGGCCGGTTGATAGTCTTGAAGTATTGGTGACAGTCGAATATACGCTGGGTATTGATGAAATATCGAGTCATTGAACTATTAAGGTCTGCAGCATGTTCAGTTCCTAAATTCTTCTGAATGTGCTCGTAGGTATGAACGTATGGTAATTCTTCTGTTACTGCAGTGTATGTGCTGTGATATGTACTTGTAAACTAAGAACTTCAACCAGAAGTATTGAGAAGAGAGAATTTGTCAATGTTTATATTGTTTCATAAAGCAGTTTGTTTTATGTAAGCTTACATGGGTTAGTAATCTGCATCGTAGTGCATATTACCTAATAAATAAATGTAATGAAAGTGAATCCATATTCTTAGTTGTCGATTTTTGTTCATGCTTTTCTACAACTCTTAAAAAGAACTTATTGCGTGATATTATGAATAATAGTTTACTAAATGGATAGTAACATAGTATGACTGAATTTCGAACAACAGACCATTTAACACAACATACTTTATATTGGAATGAATGAAGCTTATTAAAAACATTCTTTTACCGAAACATTTAAGATAATAGCCAGATGAATATACTATCGTCAATGATAATTATGAAATGGCGTAAACTTGATATGTCACATACTAAATTTCAGTTAAAATAGCTTGATTTTGGATATGGAAAAAATATACTCAATGGGCTTATACACTGATACAGGAGATTGATGATTTTATGTAAGGTTTCTACCATGTATGTCCACAATTTTCAATAATGATGACGAAAATAATCACGAATATCATTTGACCCAATGTAGATAAGTAATAATTCATTTTACTTAATTGAAAAGTATGTTTCTAAAACTTTTATAAATTTTCTTGATCTTTTTGGTTACGAATTAGATAACTAACGAAACGAAATTATAATTTTAATAAAAAGTCAAGCTTATTAAATAGAAAAAAAATATTAGAAGGGGTTTTTGTGGGTATTATAGTAATTTTAATAGTTAAGATCATGAGTTGATTTAAGCTAGATCACCATGGAAAACCTGGAAACACTAGACAGCCGTTTCGTCCTATTGTAAGACTTCTTAACAATCCGTATCCACGATCCCACCTCGCGTGATTCAAATCTAGGATCTATCGGTCCCGAGCGAGAACGTCTAACTTCTAGACCACTAGGACGGCATCCAACAGTGTTAAAAAATAGTTTATAATATTATAACAGTTTTATTAGTGGTTTTTTGTCTTCTCAATTAGTTATTTAAGGAATAGCATTTCTATAGAAAACATTTTTCAAATTAGACATCTTTCGATAAATCATCAATAAGTTATATTCTTTTGAACTTCAAAAGTTATTTTTAAAAAAAATATTTTGTATCCATCAGAATATGTGAAGTATCCTAATTCGAAAGTGAGTTCACCGTATGGATGAAATCATAATGATAATAACTGTATTATTATAATGTATGTTTTAAAAATATGTATTCGTTTGAATTTTGCTACATTGTATTTATTATAAAGATATAACTATGCGTTTGTTTGGAGAATTTATTACAGTATGAATATAATCTTATAGATTATATTCTATATAGGATTTCTTAATTACTGATCAAGTTTATTACATAATTGATTTCTATAGAAAGGTTCTTATGACAAATCATTTTGTTCGTGGATGCGTGTTGTTGAAGAGTTCCGCATTAGGATGAAACGACCGTTCAGTACTTCTAGGTTTTTCATGGTGATCTAGCTATAATCGTTTCATGAATTCAACTTTTAAATTGTTCATATTAATCTATCGAGTAATTTAGGTCACTTTACATTAGAAAAAAATACTCAGATATTTTATCAAATGTGAATTTTACAACTGATAGACACATAAATAAACATCTGAAGTATCTCTTTAAGTTATGTGAAATATTTGTTTAATGAAATAAATGTTCACATCCTATTCAAAATGCTTATAAATAGAACAAAGATGTTTATGATAAATGTCCTGATTTTGCATAAAAATAAGTAAGATCAGTTAACGCAGTGCGGATCATAGATATCACTAGTAACTGGCTTCAAGAGATATTTCCTGGAATTCTTATGAGAAGAAATGACTAGTGAAGTTCAACCAGGTCTGTTGTGAGATAGTGACTCACTGATGATAATGGTGGATGTATTGCTCAATTTCGTGGATTAGTTGAAGTTAGACATTAGCACCGTTGGATGCCGGCCAGTCTAGTGGTCCAGAGATTAAGCGTTCGCGCGCTAGACTGGTAGTCTCTGAGTTCGAATCTCTTGGTGCGGGGTCGTGGATGCGCACTGTTGAGATGTTCCACAATAGAACGAAACGGCCGTCCAGTGCTTTCATGTTTTCTATGGTGGTCTAGCTTCAATCGACTTATGATCTTAACAATTAAAATGAGTATAATATCCACAAAACCCTTTCTGAATATAAAATATTTCTTTGATCAATGATCACGTTAACTGAAACAAAAGTAAGTTTGACTGTACTGTACTGTTTAAATTCTTTGTCGTAAGTGATAGCCGGTTTACGTGATTAAAAACCACTTCATCAAGATATTATTCTACTAAATAACTTATTAAACAAATTTTTTCTTAACTGTGTTAAAAAAAATTTAAAGAGTTAAATGGTGGTTGGAGGTAGTCGACAGAAAACCCTGGAACCGGGTTTCGTGCTGCATGGCACTCGTCAGCAAGGTGTACCTGTAATCTTGAGGGAACTGGTGCTCTTTGGCGGATTCGATCCCGTGTCACCCAGCTTCACAGTCAGAGACATTACCATTGAGCTTGAAATCACTGAGTTGAAACCAAAGACTGTCTGATAAAAAATCAACTATTAATCGATTTTAAACAGTATCATAAATGAACTGTCATACTCCAAAGAAATTCTCATCTCATAACTAGTGTATTTATACCCTAATAGATAATTTAATCATATTTTCGATCAATAAAAATTCCAGCAAAATATACTATGTATATTTTGATCTCATAAATTTTATGGAAGTTAGTTCAGTTCTTACAGTGAGTTCGCTGATGTTACACTTAGTTCAAATTGAATATTTCATTTCTTCTTCTTCTTCTTCTTCTTTACTTTTAGGTCAAATGAAGACTTCAGATGTGAAATCCTAGAAAAAATAAACTTTGTTAAATAACATCAATTCTAAAGAAATCTATCAAATTTTGTGAATTACTTGCAATATTGAGAAAAATATATAAATTTTCTATCCAGAACTTAAGAATATCGATTGTTTAAAATGTATTGTCTTTTATGAATGATTTACATGTGACTAATATTAGAAATCAGTACTACTTTACATAGTCTTGTTCATATTGATGGAAAATATGACATTTTAATGGAGCTAGTGAAAGAACGCGTTATTCACAGTTTTATTATGGATAAAAGACATAGAGCTATCATTTTTGTCTGAAAGTACAAATTGAAGAATTGAGTGTTATTTATCAATACACGATGGTAGTACACAGATTTATTCTCAACTTTTCGGTTACCTTTATCTTTAATTAAAATGAATAAAATTCTGAATCCTTTCTGAATAGACTGAGTTTTAAATATATCATGGGTCGGTGTTTAATAAAAGGTAGATAATATATTTGAAAGTGGTTTTTGATGCTAATAGTAGCACTTGATAAACGTAAACAAATAACAGATTATGGCTTTAAGTTTAGTTACTTTTTTTGTCCGTTTAAAGATTTGTTTGGTTCTTGTATCTGAATACTAGATCGTTGTTCTTTGATTAACTTAAGAGTTATTTTTAATGTTATTCTTTTAGTATATGTTTAAGATCGTGGTCTTTTTCATCTGTTGTTCAGCTTATGGTTTATTAGTTGTTAACATAACTTATACGAACGTAAGCTAATAAAAATAACAATAAAAGGCATAAAGGATTTCAAGTTGGTAATATTCAGTGTCAGTTACAGCAAACGTTTGTGGATGTTAAACGGTAATCGATGTAATTTGCTTACTTATGTCATCTAAATAATTGTTTCTATCCATTCGACTTACGCAGAATGATGTGACTGCTTAACTTGCATGATCTTAAGTCAAAGTTACTCATTGTTCAAACACTTTATTATCAGGCCTACCCTTAAGATGGTTACCAGTATGTCCTGCTTCTTGAGTACATTTAGATAGCAAACAAATCTTAACAGACAAGAGTGTAGTTGTACACGAAGCGAATAAAACTGTAGTGTTTACAGAAGGTTACAAAACTGTCCCGTCACCCAACGTTACAGGATTGATTAGCTAATCCATGTTAGTCATCCCTGACATTACGGCCATTTGACTAACGACTGAACATCTAGTGATAAGTTTTCTGTGCGAAGAATAATTTGGTTAAAGTTCATCGTGATTTTGTTGACACTATACCTCAAGAGCTAGGTGATTAGTGGCCTATTCTTGCATCTTTAAAATATTTTTTTATCTTTGAATACTCCAATCTGATACAAAACTACCAAGTCATTTGACTGAACAATTATGTGATTAGTGAAGCCAAGGAGAGACGTGGCAGACTATCAAATTAATGTGCCATAACATGTGGCTATGAAAAGCATTGACGTTAAAGTTTGAGAATTTCAACTAAGATGTGGAAAACAGACGCCAAATTAGGGTTATTCCTTAGTTAAAAAAATAACATAAGTCAGTCCAGTATATATTCACGAATAATGTTTATGTAGCTGTTCCAGGTCTAACATAAAACTTTTTCACCCAGTAATGTAACAATAAGGGGTGAATCGAATAAATTTTATCACAGGATTATATATCCTCATTTTTCAATCAAGGATGAAGTAAATTCTATTTGAATTACGAGTAGATGAATAGTTAGCAAATTATTTTTCAGAATGATAGCTGATGGTAAGACTGGCTGTAAAGATACACAACAAACCTCAACAAGGGAACAATCAGACAACAGTTAACCCTCCAAAGTGATCGACATGTTATATGTCATCATCATTTCTTTAAAGCTTCGGTGACATAAAAATACCTAATGTTGTATTTCAAATCTCTCAGTATTTACGGATAAGACTGCAAAAGTGTATCGTCTTTTGCTGATTGTGAAAGTAATCTATGAGAATTGATAAGAATATACTTTGAAAATGTGCTCTCTGTTACATAAGGTTACAAACAAAATTCAGTATTATACTGTTCAGTGTGTTTTGAGAAGTGGGTTATTTAAATCACATAAGAAATATGGTTATTGTCTTAAGAAACTCATCAATACAACCAAATTAAATGAAACTATAAGAGTAGGAAACAATTTCGTGTTATGGACTTCTCTGTAGTGGTTCATCAACTTGATATTTGACCAACTTTTTAAGTAATTCTTTAAAGTTCGAAGTTATTTTTCCGTAGATATAAGTGTCCAGCATTTCCAGCCAATCACTTTCTGTCAGTGAATATGTAAATATTGTTCATGCGTTCATTGGACTGAAATATAAATCGAAATTGTAACTCATTCAACTTTACTTTTAGTGTGAACTTTGATTAAAAGTATCTATTTAAAAACCATTAATGATATAAAAATGATTCATAGGTCATTGAGCAAATTTTCAGATTTTCGAAAGAAACCTCTTTAAGTACCAACCTAATTTGGTTTTCATCGGAAATAATAATACTTAATGACTATAAAGTGTTAGCTTTTTAGAAATTGAAACCGATGAATCACATTAAGTTTGATAGAAATGTTACAATTAATTCATGATCTCAACCAAAAACTTAACAATCTCCACAACCCCCATACTGATAATTAACATGTGCTCACTAGTGACTAGCTTCGTGAGGGAATTCTCGGAGTTCTAGTGAGAAGTCGTGACCAGTGGAGCTAATCCGTGTCGGGTAGAGACAGGTATCTACCTCAGTACAATGAAAGATGGTCATGCAATTTCGTGGATTGGTTGATGTTAGACACTAACACCATTGGATGCCGGCTCAGTGGTCTAATGGTTAAGTGCTCAGGCGCGAAGCCGGTAGGTTCTGGGTTCGAATCCCGCGGGGTGCGAGATCGTGGATGCGCGCTGCTGAGGAGTCGCATACCAGGACGAAACGGCCGTCCAGTGCTTCCAGGTTTCCAACGGTGGTCTAACATCAATTAATTTATGATCTCAACCAAAAACTCAACAATCTCCACAACCCTCAAACTTACAAAAAATATAGTCAGTGAAAATTTTATGGAGGAATTTATAATGGTCTCTAAGATTTAGGTGGGTACTGAAAATTGAACTGATTATAAGCTTAGTACTCAATATATATATATGAAATAAACTACAATAAAACTTATACCTAAAAGTGATGCACATTAATCACACTTGCTAATGAAAACACTAAAAATACCATTTATAGTAGGATTTTAAAATTCTGTTCTGTTAATACTTTAAATTCAAGTAAAAAGTGAAGTAGAATGTCCCATATAATGCAATTATCCAAAATATAGCTAAAAAGCAATTGATTTTACGTTTAGAGAAGAAGATGCTCACCTAAAACAAACTTCCACAATGAATACATAGGTCAATTAAATGAAAGCTCAAGCAAAATAACAAAGAGGAGAGAAAGAATAAGAAACTGTTGCGTTATCCTAGACCATAGAATGACTTAAGGATTACCAAGGTAAATTCAAGGTTACGACAAATTGTTTTTGTACACATAAGGGGGGGGGGTTAAATTTACGAATAGATACTTATCGATTAGTGGTATCACGATGCTTCGCAGAACCATGAGTAATCACATCAGATTCTGTTTATTTGTACAGGAAGTTGATGAATGAAGGATATCATAAAAAAACTAACATACATTCTAAAGAACGATTCATGTTAACAAATCAATGTAACAGACATTTGAATTGTTTTGTAATAGTACACTACATTTTAACAGGAAAACCGTAAGAATCTATAGTAAAGTCGAAAACAGTAATGTTGTTGTAAAGAGATTGACAATATTTATTAGAATTCGCATGCAGATTACATGTTTTTGAACGACTGAAGAAGCCACAGGAAGTCCAGAAGTATATTATGCTTCAGAGCCATGAGAATGAGGTAACATAACAGAAACACAATGAAATATATGTTTTGATTGCTAATGGGTTTCAGTCGTGATATTATCTTTCTTCTTAATGTAATTTCAGTGCTTTAGAAGATTATAGTAATCGTTGATATTGACGTGTTTCCTAATGGTTGACCCAACGAAATCAACCGAGGGTCAAGTTTTGAAAAATCGAAGATGGAACTATAAACTGCGGACGACACTTGAGCGACTCTAAAATAAACTTGAGGCAATTCGGTTACTTCCCAATGTTAAAAGAGAGCTATAAGCTAATATGAGGAATTAGGAATTGGATTTAGTTAGAATTCAAGGTTACGAATTAATATAAAGGTTTTAAAATAATGCTTGGTTTCATTGTTACACAAATAGGACATTAATTGACCTTAGACGAATGTCTACACTAGATACCATCTCATTGTCTATTCTATATGACGTCAACAACAACCATACCAAGAACATGTAGCTGGCCTAACAGAACGTAAGTATTTTTCCACGCCAACAACCAATATTGATCACATTTATAATAAATATAGGAAAATATATAAATTATCCTATACCTTTCAGAGTATCATCTACTAGTCTGACTAGGCAAGCAAACAATCATCATTTTCCTAACCCATGCATCAATTTTTTATCACGAACTGAACTGTAATGACAACTATATGGATAAATGAATTTAGTGCCCATATCCAAGATTTGCTGTCCATAAGTTCATTCGTTCATCCATAAATCATAGTCTCAGCAAACAAAAAATATAGGGTCGTATGCTGTTACAACATATATTCAGACTTTTCTTTTTCAACAGTGAGAACTTGTGTGTTTTTTCTAATGACTAATCCCTAGCGTTTTATGGGATTTAGTGTTATTTTGTGAATGTTGCATTTACTGTTGAGTCAGTTCATACATGTTAGACATTCACTGTAAACGATAATTTTCCACTACCAGATAAGGATCAACATCACTTTACAGGATCAAAAAACATTATCAGGACTGATAAGCAGTTATACGACTTTTAAAAAATAAATCATTAAACAGTTGAACACACTAATTTCATTTTTATATATCAAGAAAATTAGCTACTACTCAAACATAGATTGTATAGGCTGAGTATGAGTGACTAACTAAGTGATGATGCGAATCATCACAATGAACAATTGATCCATTTAAGATATGAGAATAATGTATACATCGATCCTAGTAATAAATATGCTTTCATTTCATCAAGTGCATGGACGTTATTAATCCTTGATATTAAACTATCAATGATAAAAGTGAATTACACTAGTATTGACATGAAAATAGAACAAAAGGTATGAGAAGAAAAATCAACTCTGATCATTTATTTGATCAATTAAGTATTGACATATTTATCGGCTTTTAACACTATTCATTTATGATCATTAAGGGTGTGACAATTATATGATATTAGTAGATTGACACATATTTTATGAACAATCTATAGGAGATTTCATGAATACAATGTCATAATTGAAAATAAAGACACTTGTTTTATATTAAATCGATGGTATTTTAAACAAATAAATGTCAGTTCCGATAAAAAATTATCAAAGAGAACAATGAATACACTTTATGTAAGTTCAAATATTATAAACATTTAACTTAATGAAAATTATCATGTTTTATAGTGTAGTATATGTATTGTGGTGATTATATATGCCTATTTCGATATGGTAAATGGTGTACCGGGTATGTTAAAAGAGTTTCATATTATTACAAAACTTATTTTAATGAATAGAATTGTTCAATTATAACTAAAGTATTATTATTCAAGATTTACCTTTGTCACATAAAACTTGCGATTTCGATTTATTTAATATAGAATCTATCAAATAAGACGAAAGTGAAAAAAAGCATAAGTGTTGTACTTTGTTTAATTTCTCTCTTTTTAATTGGATCTGATGAACTGAAGACATTTTTGGATGAGATCATGAACCAATTGATGTTGGACCACCGCTGAAAACCTGGAAGCGCAGGACAGCCTTTTCGTCCTATTGTAAGACCCCTCAGGAGTGAGCATTCACGATCCCGCTCGCAGGATTCGAACCCAGGGCCTTCGGCCTCGCTCTCGAAAACTTAACCTACTGGCTTCAGTAAGCCGGCATCCAATGGTGTTAGTGTCTAACATGAATCGGTTTATGATCTCAATTAATAACTTATTACTCTCCACAACCCTTATACTGGTAGAAAACATTTTTCTCAGAGTGCATTAGGGCATTACATAATATACAGTGAGATGAACAGCAAAAAGTAGTACTGTAATGAATAAGAACACGAGTAGAGAAAATTTGTATTTGAGCCTAAAGTTACAGAACATCTCACCAAAATATGAGAACCATATAGTAAATAGTTAATTTGCAAAATACCAATCCATTGTCTCAAACTTGACTGTTCCCTTTGCAAATATCAGTATATCGTCTCAGATTTCATTGTTCGTGCATTTCATACCGATTGCTTTCCGTTCCCATTCTTTCCTTCTAGATCTTCTACTAAAATACATTTTATTCCTGATTATCGTTATATATTACTTATTTGTATATAGATAGCGCACACCAGAATACTACTATTCATGCTTTCAAATGCTTCTGAACTAAATTATTCACTTATTTGCTATACATGAAACCTGAACAAAATCTCTTTATTTCTTTTACTTTGGTTATACTTCAGAGCCTAATAAATTTGTCGATGAAGGTGAGCATAACGTTTAGCTTAAATATGTTGGAAAAATGTTTTGACTGTTTAATTTAATGATAATCGCATAAGTCACAGAGTTACATCAATTCTAAGATGCAGGTACATCCAGTTGATGAATCCTAAATATGACAAAACGTGCATCCTAGATTCCGCTGTTAACCACCACCCATCTCTGCTTATAATGCTTGTAATTTAAGGCAATATCGAGACAATTCGTATAGAATGTACATGTGCCACCAAGAGACTAATCAATCTCAGTCCTATTGGAAGATTCAAGTAAACAATACGAAGTGAATTTATAAGTTGTAATTGTTTTATAAACAAATAAAATGTCTAGCGGCATGTATCATTACTGTTGTAGATTGAAATATACAAGGCATTTATTAAATTTAAGATAAATTCACCTTATTATATTTTATATCAGATGTGTTTAGATGAAGTATGGTAATATTTGAAGATGTTGATTCATTCTAAATGATGAAAACCATATGTTTCATATGATTTTAGCTAAGGTTATATGCTGGATTATTCTGTAAAACTTAATGGGGAATAATATGTTGTAAGAAAAGTTTGAAATATTTAACAAACATTCTTAACTTATCGAATCCGTTTGATTCAAGTGTTTAGAAAACATGTTACTACTAATTAAGATAATTAGATAAAAGGTAATAATAATAGAATGTTACATTCGCTCAGTTTAAGTCTTTGTTCCTCTTTTTCATAGATGGAGTACCGGTGAGAGGAAAACCTGGTGAGTTAATAGTTTCATCAGGATATTTCATTAAACTTAGAATACATAATGTTTGAATATTAGTTCATTTTGTTCTTATTAGTGTCACTAGCATATAAACTAAATTTATACAATACATACACTAAGAGACAACTAAATTTCCAGTTTGATAGATAGAATTAATTGTTTGTTCGGTTACGCTTGGAACACTTATTCTCAAATTAATGTATATCAATAATTTGCAAGTATATAGAGAAATTCAACAAAGCATCTATTAACTAGAAAATGTAATATAAGATAACCAAAGTCTGTTCCTGTTTCATGTAGATTTTAGACGAATCTAACAGAACACCACTTTATTATTTACTAACTTAAGCCTGTTACCCCTCATGAAGGAGCATAGGTGGCTCACCAGTATTCTCTATCCAAATTCTGTCTTGAGCAATCTTTTCTAGTTCTTCCCAGTTTCTATTCATCTGCTTTTGTCTCCTTCCAATCCTCGACGCAGTGTGTTCTTTAGCCTATCTCTTTTCCGTTTCCCTTCAGGACTCCAAGTTAGCGCTTGCCTCCTCATGCAATTTGATGATTTCCTCAATGTATATCCTATCCACTTCCAACGTTTTTTCCTAATTTCCTCTTCGGCTGGAAAAAGATTTCTGATATTTCAAGAAAAGTACATTATTAATTTCTATACATAAACAAAATTGTTTTGAATAAAGTAACATGTAAAATAATTTAAGTTATAAATTACATTCATTTTCTTAACTGTAGATTTTATGGTAAACTGTCATCTTAATAGTAAAACATAATAACATCCTAACTTATTTATAAACAGAGGAAAGAAATTTATGACATTTAATAAAATCCATTTGCTTTAAAATTATAATTAAGGTAAAATAAGTGATTTCAACAGTTGAGATGATGAGTCAGTTGAAGCTAGACCACCATAGAAAACATGAAAGCACTGGACGGCCGTTTCATTCTATTGTGGGACTCCTCAGCAGCGCGCATCCGCGATCCCGCCTCAAGAGATTCGAACTCAGAGACTATCAGTCTGGCGCGCGAACGCTTAATCTCTGGACCACTAGACTGGCTGGCATCCAACGGTGTTAATGTCTAACTTCAACTAATCCACGAAATTGAGTAACACATTCACCATTATCATCAGTGAGTTACTATCTCACAACTGACGCGGTTGAACTCCACTGGTCACTATTTCTCACTAGAACTCCGTGATCAACATTTTAAAGCTAGTACTTCCAGGTTTTCCATGGTGGTCTAGCTTCAATTAACTCAAGATCTCATCTATTGAAATGATTAAAATCTCAACAAAATCCCTTCTGATACTAAAATAAGTGAACTGAGTGATAAACAATTCATAAGAATTCATTATGATACCCTACTTATTAACAATGACCAAGACAGGGTTGAATGTAGAGTGTTAGTAGGCAGCTTATGCTCCTACACGAAAAGTAATAGGCGTAAGGAAGTAAATTCACTTGATAATATCATTTAATAAGATTTCCAATAGACATTTGTGGCAAGCCCATTGGGCCACTGTATCATCTGTCTATTCATTGTAACTTAGACTCTTAATTCACTATGTTAATTTCGGTGTGTTTGATCGAATGCGTGTCTGTACATTAACTTTTAAACTATTTTCCTATTGGTTTCAACGTGCAGATAATCGATAATTTATCTACACCCGATTAACCCTCAAATATATATGGATTTTTAACAAACTCACTCACTCTCTCTGTTCCCATCGTGTGCTTGCTCACAATACGCTTGTGGATTATCATTATTCATTAATAATAAACTATCTCCATAACTGGTGTTCAGGCTTCTTAATAATCTCGAGTAAATCCATAATTCTACTAGGAGATTAAGCCTACCTTAAATACTCAGTTACGGAATATTATTATTTGGAGTCAGATATTAAGGACATTACCCTTAACATATTGGTTAGCTGCCGCCACAACATATTGGTGACCCGCCTTTGGAACGCGCACCATTTTCCTCCAAATTCTGCTGCATTCTCCTCAAGAGTATCATAAATAACTTCATATTGGAATTATTATTATAATTAATAACAATCCATTGACAATCATAATAAATTCACTCACAATATTTTCCCTTTGGAATTATTACTGTATATTCTCATACATATACCCAAAGTGACAATTTTTCTTTTCGGTGAGTCTTATATGTATATATTTTGTTGTTATTTTTGATTTCTCTTCATATTGTATATTACAATCCTCAGCTTATTATTACTATTGCTTTTTCGTATCATGGCACTTGATAATTCGTTAAGCCTTTCATCTAAATCTATTTCCGTGGGTGCCATCTCTGTACCTTTACCCATTTTTAATCCACGAAAGGCTGAACTCTGGTTTGCTCGTTTGGAAAGCTTTTTTGTAGCAAACAAAATCACAAACCAGAGTACGAAATTTAGTTATGCAAATTCACTGCTGCCAGATGACGTCATTGAACAAGTGCCGGATGTCATTTTTAAGCCGGATCCTGACTCACCATTCGATTGTCTAAAAAGAGAGGTCATTCGTGTCACATCTCTCACCGACCAACAGACAATTGATCAACTTTTAGCCAACGTGGAGCTAGGTGACAATACACCGTCACAGTTAAAACGCCACATGACAAACTTATTAGGAAATCGTACAGTAGACAAACGTCTACTATATCAATTGTGGCTCAGACGTCTCCCTCAAAACATTCAACAGATACTAGCAATTGGAGACGAAGACGTTGATTTTGATAGACTAGCAGACATAGCCGACAGAATTTACGAACGGTCCAAGACTCACCTTGTATCTCAAATCCAATCAAGCTCAGCTGACGAGATCGCCGAGTTACGACGATCAGTTGATACCCTTACGAAACAGATAGCTCAGATCCAATTATTGAATGCCTCCCACAGCAAGCGTAGAGGAACATCCACAAGCCGTAGACGACGTAGTCCAAGCACTACTAGACACAACATTTGCTGGTACCATAGAACATATGGCAAACAAGCTAGAAAATGTACTCCGCCTTGTAACTTTGCAAGCACACAGAAAAAGGAACGTCAAGACCGTAGGTTAATGTCGACTGCACTCACTGACCACAACTTTCAAGACAGTCGTCTATTATATGTTACAGACAAAAGAACCGGGACACAGTTTTTAGTCGACACTGGGGCAGAGGTTAGTGTAGTACCACCTACTGCACTCGAGAAAAACACACCTGACCCCAAACTAAAACTACAAGCAGCAAACAGGTCTGACATCAAGACGTACGGCAAAAGGCGGTTGCAATTAAATTTCGGTCCTAAATCTAATTTTTCCTGGAGTTTCATCATAGCGGACGTCCTCGTTCCTATAATCGGCATTGATTTCCTGCAATTCCACAAAATACTGGTAGATGTCAGAAATAGGAAACTTGTCCTTGCCGAACAGAGTAAGGAAATTAGAGGAATTATATCAAATGAGACTTCCATACATTTATTAGTTAAACCTCATCATGAGAACGACAAATACGTCAATTTACTTAATCAGTTTCCAGATTTATTACGACCGAGTTTCAAACACGACAAACCGACGCATACCGTCGTACACCACATAAAGACAGAGGGTCCACCTGTGTTCGCACGTCCAAGACGCCTTGATCCCTCTCGTCTGGCTATCGCAAAGAACGAATTCAACAAAATGATTGAGTTGGGCATCATACGCCCCTCCGATAGTCCGTGGGCATCACCGCTTCATATGGTACCTAAGAAAAACTCTTCCGAAGTTAGACCGTGCGGTGACTATAGAGCTCTCAACAGCCGGACCATACCAGATAGATATCCTCTCCCACATCTGCATGACTTCACTCATAGCCTGTCTGACGTGTCGATCTTTTCAAAAATTGATCTCGTCCGTGCTTACCATCACATTCCAATTCATCCAGACGATGTTCCTAAAACAGCCATTACTACCCCCTTTGGACTATACGAATTCGTCCGCATGCCTTTCGGATTAAGGAATGCTGCACAAAGTTTCCAGCGTTTTATTGACCAAGTGGTACGGGGCTTACCGTTTGTGTATGCTTACATAGATGACCTACTTATAGCAAGCAAAGATGAAAATGAACATCTAACTCATCTGAAAATGCTTTTTGAGAAGCTAAACGAGTATGGGTTAGCGGTCAATCCTGACAAATGTGAGTTCGGAAAACAATCCCTCACCTTTTTAGGTCACGTACTTGATAAGCAAGGCATTAAACCAGTTCCTGAGGAAACACAAGCTATCAAAAATTATCCTTTGCCTGATTCATTCAAGAAACTACGACGTTTCCTTGGGATGATCAACTTTTACAGACGCTTTATCCCCAAATGTGCAGACTTAGCAAAACCACTAACTGATTTATTAAGGGGACGAGCTAAATCATTAGCAATGACACCGCAAGCAATTCAAGCATTTGATCAGTTGAAAAGCGCTTTAAGCACAGAGGCATTACTCGCACGACGAAAGGTTGATGCACCTTTAGCAATAATGACTGACGCTTCTAACATAGCAGTAGGTGCTGTACTTCAGCAACGTGTCAATGAACAATGGCAACCCCTTGCATTTTTCTCAAAAAAGCTAAACGCAACGCAAACAAAATATAGCACATTCGGTAGAGAACTGTTGGCTATCTACTTAGCCATCAAACACTTTCGCTACATGTTAGAAGGCAATTCTTTCACGATATATACTGATCACAAACCCCTAACTAAGTCCTTGATGCACAACCATGATAAATATAGTCCGCGCGAAATTCGTCAACTAGAATTCATTTCACAATTTGCAGCTGATATACGCTATATTAAAGGCAATGCAAATGAGGCAGCAGATGCACTATCGAGATTAAATATCAATACCTTCTCGATCCCTGATATAGACTATCAAGAAATGGCAAAGCATCAAAAGCTCGATACGGAGCTACAAAAGCTTTTGCAGTCTAAGGAAACGAAATTATTATTCCAAAACATCCCCATAAACAACAAGGACACCTTAACTTGTGATACCTCAACAGGTAAAACTCGCCCTTTTGTACCTTTCGGTATGAGACGAAATATTTTCGAGAAATTACACAATATATCTCATCCAGGTATAAAAGCCACTGTAAAGCTTGTCACAGATAGATTTGTATGGCCAAAAATAAACAAAGACGTAAGAAAATGGTCACGGGAATGCGTCCAATGCCAAAAGTCAAAAGTACATAGGCACATCATATCTCCTACCGGAATTTTTCCCGCCGCTAGCGCTAGGTTCGACCATATTCATATCGACATTGTCGGACCGTTACCGATTTCTAATGGTTACACGCATATATTAACATGTATAGATAGATTTACGAGATGGCCCATAGCTGTTCCGTTAAAAGACACGTCAGCATCAACAGTGGCGAAGAAGCTGGTGAAACACTGGATTACAAACTTCGGTGTCCCTACAACAATTACGACCGACCGTGGAACGCAATTCGAAAGCAAACTATTTCAGCAACTTACAGATACTTTCGGTATAAAGAGAATTAGAACCACTGCTTATCATCCGTCTGCTAATGGAATGATAGAAAGATTCCATAGACAGTTAAAAGCCTCTTTGACGGCCGCACGAGGAGATTACAAATGGGATATCAAGCTTCCTTTGATACTATTAGGCATTCGCTCAACCATCAAACAAGACCTCGGTTGTTGTGCTGCTGAGTTGGTTTATGGAACAACATTACGTTTGCCTGGTGAATTTTTTGACCGTGCAACAGATATTCCAGCAGATATAACCAACTACGTACAACAATTAAAACAGCAGATGGAATCCATTAGGTCCGTTAAACCACGAACCCAAAAGGTGAAATCATTCGTACCCAACGAACTAGACAAATGCTCACATGTATTCGTGAGAAATGATAGAGTACGACAGCCGTTACAGACTCCTTACGACGGCCCTTTTAAAATCATCCGAAAGGACACTAAAACGGTTACAGTGGAAAGAGCAGGTAAACATGATACAGTTAGCATCGATAGAGTAAAACCAGCATTTTTAGAGAACACTGAAAAACAGACAACTGTAAAACCGTCTAAACCTGCAGCAGAGCAAGCACCATTCAAACTACCTGCAACAAGCAACACTTCAAATCAAAGTTCAGCAGCAGCACAAACTACAACAAGATCAGGAAGAAGAGTACATTGGCCAGATAGGTATGTAGCAACCACCATATTTATCTAGACCAAATCCTGAGACTACTCTTATAACACATAAAAATCCTATTTTATTTTGATTACTATTTTTTTTATTGGCCCCACGGATCATCATTATGCTTACATTTTAACTTTATACAATTCATTAATGTTAAATATACAATTGTATATACGATATGAAACGTTTCAACACACAAGCTGTTATTACAATTTTACGCTTACTCATCATATTGAGTTGTACTTTTATTTTAAAAACAGTTCCGTTCTTTATCTCTTTGTCGAACATAGATGTTAATCCAATTTTTTTTTTTTGGTACATAAAAACATCAATGTTCTGGATGGGAGCTTATGTGGCAAGCCCATTGGGCCACTGTATCATCTGTCTATTCATTGTAACTTAGACTCTTAATTCACTATGTTAATTTCGGTGTGTTTGATCGAATGCGTGTCTGTACATTAACTTTTAAACTATTTTCCTATTGGTTTCAACGTGCAGATAATCGATAATTTATCTACACCCGATTAACCCTCAAATATATATGGATTTTTAACAAACTCACTCACTCTCTCTGTTCCCATCGTGTGCTTGCTCACAATACGCTTGTGGATTATCATTATTCATTAATAATAAACTATCTCCATAACTGGTGTTCAGGCTTCTTAATAATCTCGAGTAAATCCATAATTCTACTAGGAGATTAAGCCTACCTTAAATACTCAGTTACGGAATATTATTATTTGGAGTCAGATATTAAGGACATTACCCTTAACATATTGGTTAGCTGCCGCCACAACACATTTGAAGTACATAATTTAAAAAATATTTGTATTGTGATTCTGTCATATAATAATAAATGATATTGTTTTAATACTGTATTTATCTTATAATGTTCATTACTACTTTTCTTTCTTTTAGCTACTCCAATCAAAGTATCGGCTATTAAGATACCAGTGAACAAAACAATGAAAGTAGAAAGTGAGAATTTGTATGATTGTGCTATAGTTTATAGATACTTATATATAATTCAAATGAAATGGATAATTTCTAATAATTTATGTAAAAGTTAAATATTACTAGCAATTCATAAGATACTTTCATTCATCATAAAGAAGAAGATTCTAATAATTCAATGAAAGTAATATTATGATAGAAGAAAGTAATTTATGAGATAAATAAAGATTATGATATATGTAAACAGAGTTTCTGCAATAGCCGAATGTAATTCCTGTGGAACTGATGAAATGATTATTTGCCTTAACATACGTAGATGGATGTGAAAAATGAAACAACAAAATGAATTCACATGATCTAACTAGTTCTTTGAACAAAATTCAAAATCATTTCATAACTATCATTATTATAAGTTATAGTTCTGTTCCGTGTTTTAACTAGTGAGAGTCAAAATTATGTTTTATAATCAGTGTTATAAATTCAATGTTATTTTTCTTAATGTTAACCTTTTAAACAGCCACACCGTCCAAAGAAAAGAAGCAAAAAAGTAAGAAATTAAATCATTTCATTTAAAACGTTTTATGACATTCTGACCGGAACACTAATTCTGAAACCCAACAGCTATTTAATATGTTCCGAGCTGAGGCAATGTACAATATAGATCAATCTATGGTGACCAATATTTCTAACTAATGAGAATACCACTCCTCCCCCCCCCAAAAAAAAACTTGTATTTTAATTTCTAGCTAGAACCTGAAAATTACCAGTTGTGTATATGTTGACCAGTTTACAATTATTTAATACTTACATTTAAGATGTGGATCGTTTTTTGTAGGAAAAAGTTTCACTTCAACAGTATTCGGCATATACATAGAATTAAACAATCAGTAAAGACATATTTATAATCACTAGTTGTGCTAATAGATTATACTTTAGAGATCGGATTTTTAAAAAAAGATGTAAAATTCACGTTGTAATGTAGTTTATCATTCAGGATATCCGTAAATATATATTTTTTATGACTGATTTGTTTGCTGTGTAACAAAAGAGAATAATTACCATTAGCACAACATTTCCATTTTATCTGAGTGATAGAAATAATTGCAGAAAATGCAATTTGTTTCCCAGTAGATAATTTTCATCCTTGAATGTAAATTATATTCTTACCGTTTTATTTGTAGAATTTACAGTCTATTCCTTATCCTATATTCTAAGCACATATATCGAAACATTGCTCCAACAATATAATGGAATCACTGAGTGTTTGTACATAAATTTCGTCAGATGATGTCTTGAAGTCGGTACATGTGCACTTGATTAAATATACTGAAAACATAGTGATTTCATAATCTATCCTAATTTTTAAGAGGTATTTCTTATACTCATCATAAGTATACATTTAGAAAGTGGTCAACAAGAATCAATCAGCATCGAGGTGTACAGGACAAGCTGTGAACCACATGTGGAGAAATTCGAACAGTTCACCTCTACGTGAAGTTTGTGTTGATGATATCGTTCAGAATAACGATGAAAGCTCTACCACCAAATTATCCAGCTCAGAAAACAAAACTCCATAAAAATCATCCACCATAGCTACAAATTTTCTCCACCATCTCATTCGCATTATTGTAAACAGTATATGGTCAGAATACCTGCAAATTCTTTTCTTAATTAATTTCCACGTTGTACTTTATTTAAAATAATTCATAGATGAACCGAAAAGGCATAAGAGATGTGAGTTCGAAATAAACTATTATGCAATTAACAACGTTAAAGCATTATGGAACATTATGTTATATTATATTGTTAGAAATTTGTTTTGAAATCCCGCTTAATTGACCGATAGTTCTAGTGCATACTGGAAACATTGTGAAGCGTCATTAATTAAAACAATTAACTAAGTTTTCCTAAGGGTATGAGTTTTTGTAACCACGTTGTCACATGGGGATAAATGCAGTTGAAAAATACCTTTATTAATAGTATGAATTCGAATTCATATAACGATTGTTATCAGTTACGAAGATCGTTAATCCGAACTCTCCGTATGTTGAATTAGCAGAAGAAATAGTATGTTATTCATTACATATAATCTCTTTATTACCAAAGATGAACACATTCAGATGAATATTAGTGTAAAATAGATGTTAAGTTAGTTTATTTGTGAATCTATGTGCAACAGGATTATTAATTTTAATAAAAAGGTGAAACACTACCAGAAATTATCCCAACCAATTCAGTTTTAATTAGTTTCATAGAGATTTATAAGTTACCATTAAACGTTATCAAATTACTGTCAACTAAGTGAAATTTATGATAAAAATGGTTGTTTTTCAAAGTTGAATTCACAAGTCAATTTAAGCTTGACCACCATTGAAAACCGGGAAGCACTGGACGGCCATTTCCTTCTATTGTGGGACTCTTCAGCAGTGCACGCGGAACTCGAACCCAGGACCCTTAGTCTCTTTCGCAAACACCAAAACTCTAAATCAAGGAACCAGCATCCAACGGTATCGTTATCTAGCTTCGATCGATACATGATATTGCTCAGATTTTCATCCGTTGTACTAGGTGGCTAACTGGATAACCAAGACCAGTCAAGTCCAATCCGTGTACGCTTCCATGTTTCAATGGTGGTTTAGCTTATAATGACTCGTGATTACAACTTTGAAAATAATACAACTGCCACAAATCCCAAAAGCTGAATAAAATGGTTGTGCCTGATGATCTTTATTTTTTGTTTTGAACAGCATCACAAAAGAAAGATAAGAAGGCCAAATGTAAGAAATTAGATAATTAGTTGCAATTTTTTTAACCCCTTAATTTTACGATGTTTCCTCGGTTTTTCATACACAGAATATCGAATCGAAGAGATCTTGCAGACAAAAAACTGTATTTAGGATTGAGGTGGATAAGATTTATTAGCTTAGTTTACTATTCATCAGTTGCCTGGTTGTGCTCTCAACATGGCTTTCTTCACAGAAGCAGCTAAATCCGTAGATAGGCGTGGATGTAGCAGAACCAGGTAACTTATTCATTAGTTGAGGAGTCACCATAGATGCAGTCGAGAATGTTAGACAAAGGTTAGCTGTATCAAACTTTCCCTTCACTGCTCTACTCTGTCTATCTGATAGCACGTCACCAGCTGTATCTCCGATGAAGTGCAATTTCTGGATGAGAAGTTTCGTATTAGATGTTGATATCGCTTCCTCCCTGTTTAATAAATGAAAGGGTTTTTCCAGAAAACCTTGTGGATAATCCATTTCAATCCACATATTATGAATAAGCTCTAGTTCTTTGTTTAGGGTATCGTCTGAGAATATGTTCCTAGCTCTATTTGCAAGAAATCTAAGTTTTTCTTATAATGAATGGGTTCAATGCTCAAGGAAGGTGTGTACTGTCGAACTGTAGAACTTTTCCTTATGTCTGTGGTGAAACCTATCATGGAAGGGAAGTTCCAATTCCTACCGAACTCATCCACTTCTATCTGTAATCCAGTGATCAATCAGCAAAATTCAGTGATTGTGAATTCATCGAAGTTGTTGTTATCTATAAGGAGATAATCAACTACAGCTACAAAATGTAGTCGACCGAGTTCCAACTCAGTGGCTGAATACATGGCTGTTATTTATGGTTATTTACACTCTACCATAAACGTTTCAAAACTAAATTAATGATTGTATTTATTTATTTCTGCGTTTCAGCGATCGTATAGATTAGGGCAGTTAACGATATAGGCTTTTAAACATCATAACAGTATGGTGATATTTGACATTTTAACAAGTGTTCATTGTTGGTTATATAACTTTTTATTTGTTTGATTCGTCCACTATCATATATGTTGTTAATTTTATATTTTATCGATAATTTTGTTTAACAGCGTCATCATCAACTTTGACCATCGGTATGTTTTAATCCATAAATTTTACATCATTAATTTCATGTCATCATATTACTAATAGTCGCCTGATTTGTGTACAAGTGTCAAAGAAACAATCAGGAATAAATCATATCGGTATACGAAAACCATGTCAATTTATAAATAATCTTGGATTATATTAACGGACTAAACGTCTTCTTTATAATAATAGAACTTGGAATCAACCAGAGTTTTCATAACAGCAGAGTTTCCTTAACAGTATAAGATGACAAAAACTTAGACGGATTGGATTAATATTCTTTTGAAAGAAGACACTAAATGTTTTGTACTACATAATTGAACTGAATTACTAATTAAGATTATGAAACAATAGAAAAAGTTGAAGTTATAAAATATCATTAATTATTTGATTGGAATAATTATTAATCTTTTGTTATTTGTTGACTTTTAGGAAGTCCAATCGTCTTCATAATTACACCATTTGTCATTTCAAAGTTCCTTCTTTGAAATTTCCAGCTATTTTGAAATATTACTATCAACTGGAATAGTTTTCACTTTTATGTACTCTTCTTCTATTCAGTAAATAAATGATTTCGCGTAACAATATGTTTTGATTTCTAAGCAAAGATGGGTAGTGGCTAGCAATGGAATCCAGGACGCACGTTTCGTCCTATTTAGGACTCGTCAGCTGGATGTACCTGCATCTCAGAGTTGATGTTCACTCTGGGACTGATCAATTGCAGTTATAAACCTCAATGGGAAGATACAAGCAAAACACTACCAACCGTTTTGATTTCTATTTACCTTATTTCGTCGTCCTATACCATTTGAGTAGAGAGAGACAGAGTGTTCATTTGAAATTCTTTCAAAGGTAACTGGCGTCAAGTAATAACTAAAACATTAGTGAGTCACAAAAGTTAATCTACTTAACTTGTGAGGCTAGTAGATCAATTAATAGTCATACACTTAGGATTATGTTTTGTACTTACTGAGTTGTGGGGTCACTTTATCTCTTGTTCTTTTATCTTCTGGATACTGCCCTTCAAACTCCAAAGGCTAAATGCAAAGCTTCCGATTTTCTTTCTTCCTTACTTATGTCTGTTACTCCCAGTGGAGCATAGGCCGTCAACCAGCATTCTCCAACACATTCTGTCCTGGGCCTTCCTTTCTATTTTTATCCAATTATTGTTCATTCTTCACATATCTGTCTTCATTTCTTGGCATAATGTGTTCTTTGGTCTTCCTCTTTTCATCCGGCCTTGAGGATTCCAAGTAAGAGCTTGCCTTGTGATGCTACCAAATAACTTCTGTTTTTAAATTTTTATTGTAAACACTTTGCCCTGAAATCATTTTTAAAGCAAAACTTTGTCCCTTATTCATTCAACAACTACCTTCAAAATCAGTATTACGTAATTTGTTACAAAATGATTGACTAAATATCCGTCACCCAAGTATTTCGAGCACGTTAGGTTTATCCAAGCGATAAATATACAACAATGAACTATAGTTTTCAGTAATTGTAGTTACCTTCATTATCGAAATGGATATTTTGATCATGAATATTTAGGTTTAATCAATCTATTTAAGATCAGTTCTAAGAAAGAAGAGCAATATATTCAAACTTTTTGACGAAAAAATAAATATCAGTATCGGGTTGTGTTTCGATTAACATCATGAATGGATCAATGTTAGACCTGGGTTTGAATCCTGCGTGTGGTATTATGGATGGGCAATCCCAGGATGAAAAGGCCTTCGATGCTTCCAGGAAAAAGATATCTGACATATATTGTCATGGAAATCATTCAATAAGATTACGTTTCTTAATCACATTTCTGAACAGCCTATAGTGATTCTTCAACTAAAGGATAAGTTACCTGGTTCTGCTACATCCACGTTTGTCTACGAATTCAGCTGCTCCTGTGATGAAAGCTATATTGAGAGCACTGAAAGACAACTGAACCAAAAAGTTAGTGAACACCTCCTTTCGTGGTTAAAAAAGGGTACCGTCAAAACAATATGCAACTCTGCTCTTTCACACTTGATCGATAGCGGTAATGTGGTAAATAGAAATAAGTCCACTGAGATCGCTGACTCATAAACGGCCTTGATTGGTTTGCAAATTTCATATATGCATATGAATATTACCGTGTTTTAAAATAAATCCTGATGAGGATCTAATTAAAAATAATATTGTTCGCTGATTTATGATATTCTGATTCAGGATTTCGTAGTTTTGAATATCCTAAAATCACACTTATATACGAAGATATAAGAAAACGAACATTTATTTAAGAAGTTTGGGGAAAGAAAATAATGACAGAAATCTGGTAAAAAATGTGTTTGATAAATGACGCAAAGTATTCCAAGAAATACCACTTCCTTGCTGTTTTAGGATTTGTAACTGGGATCAGATCTACAAAATATACTGGCAGTAGAATTTTAGTTGTGTTCGATCAAACATAATACTATACTAGGAATAAGTTATTTGACATAAGGTACTTCAGTTTTAGTCAAAGACGAACAATTATAGACTCCAAATGATCGATTTGACATATCAATCATATAAAATGTATTGA